TTGTCTGTTTGGTTTTTGCACATTCCACTGGAATGTACACCATCATTGGCATGTACATTTCTAACTATAGATGAAAAGCATTGATGTCAGTATTGATAATGACTGTGATGGTACAGATCACTGTTGTGACTGTGGTGATGATGATCGAGGAGTACGAAGATTAAAGACTGAGCATAATAATTATCAGAATCTATATGGGCTATTGCACTTAAGTGAAAAGAAGAAAAGGCAGGCTTATCAGAGAACTTCAAAAAATCGAAAACGAAAAGTTCTTAGCAATCGTTTGGAATGCTTGTTTTGTTTGGCTGTTGCCATTTTAGTTCTCTTTTCGTTTGTGTAGCCATTTGGTTTTTAAACAGACAGGACGGAAAGGGGGTGAAGCAAAGGAAGATCTAGCGTTTTTTAAATGTTAGTTTCTTTTTTTGCTCAGTGGACTTGATATTAAATAAGCAATTGGATCGTATTACAATTGATATTACTATCGCATATCGTCGGTATGCTGGTTATGGCAATACGTTTGAATAGCCGACACTTGTTGGCGTTGTGTGTCGGTGTCTGTGTGCATTGATCATATTTGATCTTCGAGATCAATACTAAATTTTCACCTTTTTTACTGTTCTATTTCAGTTTGCTTTTTCTAACTATCGGCTTTTTCTTTTTTTTTTTAATGCTTTTTGTTCTTCCTTTTTTTTCTCTTGTGCTGTTACTTATAGTGTCATTAGAGGAGAAAAAAATAAACAGGAAAAAAAAAACCTGAAACAAAAATACCACTTTTCTGTCATAAGCAGAAGAGCAAAAAAAAATTGAGTTATTGTTGCTAATAGTTTGTTGTTTCGTTTTTAAAACTGTACAGAACAAAAGTTGTATGAATGAGGCTGTATAGTGTTATTTGTTAGCCAAAATGTTTATTCTGATGATTTTTGCTGTCAATTTTTCGTTATTTTTTTTTTTTTGTAAAGCATACACAACCAAAAGTCAACAGCAGAAATACTTTTCCACTCGGAGACTTTTGTCAACAACATTATTCACATCTGTTAAGCTCAAAAAAAAAAAAAATTCTCCTTAAAAATACCTTCAAATATAGCAACAATTGCTCTTAATTGTTCTTTTTTTGTATCACTTTTGTTATTATAACTTATCTTGATTTCTCTCATTAATCCATGTGGCATCTATCCGTTTTATTTTTATGATTCAGACTATTATTGCACTGAGGGCTGCCGGTGTGATTCATTGCATGAAGAACATCGTCATCAAGTCACCAGGTGTCCTTAATCTACACTGATACTTGATCAGCGTGTAAAGCTTTTTTTTTTTACACCAATATTTTCACCATCGCCCACCTCATCATCATCGTCATCATCGTCATCATCGTCATCGTCTTCATTCATAGATCATGTCTGATAATTTCCTGTATGTCTGTGTGGCGGTGATCTTAATGAATGGGTAACAACAGGTTAATAACTAAAAGATAATGTGTTGATGTTTTTGTGGATTATTACAACAGTCAAGATGCTGTTTATGCTTCAAGTTTGCACACGGTTATATAAACATGCTCAAATAATAAGACGGCAAAAAAGAATACTTGTCTATTCAGTTTTTTTTTGCACTTTTTTTTTCGGTTTTTGTTTTTAACCAGCAAATAATATTCAACAAAAAGAGCAAGATGAAGATGCTGAAGATAGTTAAGATAAGAAGACAAAAGAAAAATGTGGAAGAACAGCTGACCACGTTAAGCCGCTTACTGTATTAAGCGCAAATTTTTGTTACTTTTCAACTAAAAATTTTCTTCAATTAGTGTGTCCTTTGCTGTTACAGCACTTTGTTCGATCGGTCAGCGAAGAGGTTTTTTGTAAGAAAGAAGAAGGCGAGAAAAAAAAAA